TGCGCAGTGTTTACTATAGACATAGTACAGTGCATTTGGAAAGTATTCAGACTCCTTGACTTTTTCCACAGTTACAGTCTTATTCTAAAATTGATTAAATAGTTTTGAGTGCATGTTTGAGGACCCTATTGAAGTGGCTATCCCGCTCCTTCCTGTTAAAGGGGATGAGCCTGATCAGAGTCCACCACAGAGAGCTGAAGCCTCTCTGACGGGTTGAGGTGCCATGTTCAGAGGCAGCTGGCCGCTGGAGCCTCCCATGGAGTGATCAACACATCAATGTGCTGGAGCTCAGGATAGTTCGCCTAGCTCTTCAACAGTTCCAGCCCTACCATTTCCCCTGATCACAGCTACGCTAGACAGGGTCATCTTGATTGGCCACCAGCTGCTCGTGATAACTCCATGCTGGCTGAGACCACCATGGTTCAGCCTTCTGTTGTCTCTCCTTTCGGGGACCCCATGTTAGCTGCGCCTGAGGCCCAACATATTCTTCAGGCTGGGGGGATACTGTGGCATCCGGACCCGCAGCGCCTCCAGCTTTTGGCTTGGCCTCTGAGAGACATTAGTGGACCAGTCTAGGCCTTCAGGACAATGGGGTGAACACGTTGCGGTTTCTTCCACCAATGCGTCATGTCAAATGGGGGGGGGGCATATTCTGTACCTGCTTTGAGAGCGGTTTTACAGTTTTCACAGTCACTGCTCGATGCGGGCTGAGCGGCATCCACATTGAGAGTGTATTTAGCCACTACCTCGGCATGCCATGACGAAGGCCAAGAGGGACCCATGGCTGGCTAACCATTGCTCTCCAGATTTATGAAGGGAGTTCGACGTCTGTGTCCAGCAACGGCCCGCTTGGTGCCAAACTGGAACGTTGACGTGGTGCTGTCAGCGATTGCTAAGCTGCCCTCGAGCCCCTAGAGTTGATGACTTTGAAGCGCCTATCCATGAACGTGGCATTCCTGTCGGCTATTACCTCCACTAAGAGGGTGAATGCCTTTTCAGTGAGCACTGAATGTTTTTCCGAATGGGTCCAGACAAGAGAAGTGTCACCCTCCGTCTTAACCCCTCATTCTTGCCGAAGGTCCTGTTTGACAGACCTGCACCGGTCCTTACATTTGTCCGCATATGCTCCTCCCGCGGCTGTGGGTGAGCTGTGTGTTTTTTTCCCCAGGTGTGCTCTGCCCGGGTCAGGGCCTTGGACACTTACATTACACAGACACAGGCAATGCAACAGTCTGATCGGCTATTCGTTTGCTATTGTGAGAGAGTTCTGGGCCAGAGCCTATCGATACAAATACTCTCACATTGGATGGTGGACACTAGTACTACAGCATATCGGCTGGCCAGCCAGCCTCTGCCGTCTGCTGTAGTGGCACATTCTACTAGAGCAACTATGACTGCCCTGAGCTCAGTCCTACGGGACTTTGCTCTCTGTCACTCCAATCCTCTTTGTCAGTTATCTACGGTCGCCTCGAAAATGACACGAGGTGGAAGTAGTGCCTGCTCGTGGAAAGATACCATTTTGGAGTGATCCAATAGTTCACATAACTGTGATTACATACGTAACCTTCATTGTCTTGGGGGTGTGGTTTAATGTGTGTGTTTCTTGGGTGTGTCTTTGCCATTCAATCACAACAAACAAGGCCAGTAGCAAATATTTTTTATAACTATCCCAAGCTAGACCAGAGCCTGTCGTTTCCAATGGGAGCAAATGAATCATTGTGGGCAGAACAAGCAAGGAGGTGGGCAGAGCCAAGCACGAGCTAGTGAGATCATATTGGTGCGTTCTAGCATTTATTTGCATATTTATTTATTTTATTTATTTAACTTTTATTTAACTAGGCAAATCAGTTAAGAACAAATTCTTATTTACAATGACGGCCTACCAAAAGGCAAAAGGCCTCCTGCGGGGACAGGGGGCTGGGATAAAAAATGTAGGACAAAACACTCACGACAAGAGAGATAAACACTACATAAAGCGAGACCTCTTCCCGTTAAGGAACGCCTAGTCTGTGAAGCGTGCGTGTGCAATAAATCAATTCGCCCTCGCACTCCTTATAAACAAACAAAACAATTATAATCTTTGGCAAAGGGTAAAGTCTTGTCACAACTTCCTCAGAAGCTGCCTCCCCTCCTTGTTCGGGCAGGCTTCGGCGTTCGTCGTCACCGGCCTTCTAGCCACTGCCGCTCCTCATCTCATCATTCCATTTGTTTTGTGTTTATTACACACACCTGGTTCATATGCCCTCAGCAGTACCTGTATAAGTGTTCCCTCTGCCCCCTTGTCTTTATGTGAGATTGTTTATTGTGGAGGTTAGATTAGCTCGGTGGAGCTCTTTGTATTTTGTATCGCCAGGATATTTCACCTGTGTGCCTTGTTGTTTTCCAGTGCACCTGATTTCCGCACTGGAGTGTTTTACGCATTGCTGAGTACCGCTGTGTTTTCGGAATAAACCTTTTATTCTGTGATTTACCCTCCTGCGCCTGACTCCTCCAAAATCACTCACCACAAGTCTACAAAACGCAGTCCACTCTGTTTGTTATAGATTTTAATTTTGGAAACAGAAAACTGTATGGAGAACAAATGTTTAATCAGTGAGAACATTTGCACAATGTCGGCCAAAATCGATCTCGCTCCATCTTCTACCACTGCCGGCCACTGGGCTTCGTCTCATCACCATATTTGGTATATTTGGTAGTGAGTGGAAATGCCGATCGGATGCTTCACATTTATAGATCCGGTAAAATATCTGGCTCATTGTTCTATCTACGCCAGTAGTGAGTACAGCGAGGTAAGCGAAGTTAGCTTTGCTATGGAGATAACTACGTTTTGAAGTTGAGGACTTCTCCCCTCCTGACTGACTCGCCATCTCTCAAGATGCTCAGCTAATTCAGTTCTACAGTATGTGTAGGCTAAAGCCTGCACTGACCTTGTGTTTAGCCAAGCTGACAGCAGCTAGCTAGCATAGCTTGCTGATAACTGCAGCTGGCAATCCTATTTAGCTGATATTTCTCTGTCAAATCAGTTATGGCAAGATAGCAAGAGCCAGTGTCAAGAATGTGTTTCTTAAGACGCTCTTTCTACAACACCTTGCTACAAAAGTAACTTGCAACTTAGTGTCGTATATGAAGATTATGACTATTCTAGAGGAACAAAGAGGGGATGTTTATCTTAGTTCAAAAGTAGCCATTTGTAGGGTGACGCCCCAGGGGAGACAGGTGATTGGACAGCAGAGGGAGCAACCCATATTTCTGCATTGTTTATAAGTATATGCTGGAGGGAGAGGGGGTTAGAGCAGACATTACAATTTGAGGACACTGCTCTCCGGGTGGTCATGACATCCGTCACTTATGCTGAAATCTTGTGATATGAATAAACTTATGATCAAGGGTTCAGTATGAGCGGACTCCTTTGTTTGACAGTAATGAGCACCAGCAGCGACAAGATACACTACATTAGTTTAAACGTTTCATCGCATCATGTAAATATGTGTTACCGTGGAAAAGGTATCAACTGTGAGTTGAATTCCCAGTCTTGAGTAAGCTCAGCTGTCCTACAACACAATATTCTATAACTGGCTAGTTTTGTCTCATCTCGTCTCGTCTCTCCTTATGTGTGCTGTTAGATCTTTCCCGTGGGACAAAGCCCAGAACTACTAATCTCCCTACAACATTGACTAAAAATCGATGTGTGTTCATGTTACAAAGACAAAACATGTTATGCTTTAAGTATCATATTGGTGTGCTTATAAAGACAGTATGCCTACACTTAGATAGAAAATAAAAATAAGTTGTGTGTAGAGTACAACTTCAGCTGTCTAACCAGAACTAGAATGGCATTGTATTTGTCTAACTAGGCAAGTCAGTTAAGAACAAATTTTTATTTACAATGACGGCCTACACCGGCCAAACCCGGGCGACGCTGGGCCAATTGTGAGGCTGGGTGAGGTTCTGTCTTCAAGTCTCCAGTGGGTGATGAAGTCCCCTCAATCTATAGTATGTCATGTATTACAGGTTATAGACAGGTGCAGTCAGGTGGCAGGATGGGTGGAGTGCATGACACTTCATCCTGGATGAGAGTTTGCCTCAACCCATGTGTCCAGCAGGCAGAGTTCAATAACAACAGGCAGATGTGAGATGCTGGAGGATGGCACTCTTCTCATACCTCTCTGTAGGCTACTGCCTACTGACCAATTAAAAGCTTCCTCCAGCCTACAGAGGTAAGTAGCCTACAGAGTAATATGAGAAGAGTGCAATTGCTGAACTTATGTAGATATTCTAAACAAAGTGTTTTGATAACTTTCCAGTGTAACAGTTCCATGTAGAATAAACCATACTTCACATAATACTGTAGAAGCAGTGTTCTGCTAATAAACAACGTGCAAATATGATACTTTCCTGTATGGTGTCCCAAATAAGACAGGAGTTCCCTGACATGTTTGAAGAATACATAGGAATAATAAAAACTACCAGAGGCGTAGACTGCACTTTCAGCACATTATCATTCACACTGCACCAATCCATTTCACTGCATTGCTCATCACACCAGTCTAGCTACAGTAAATATTGCATAATGTTACATTTTGGTTTTGAGTAGTAATATTCATATAATTGGTCTAAAATGCCTAAATTCAAACACTTCACCAAATTTGTATGCATTAATTAAGTTTCCCATAATCGCTCCGGCAATTTTTTTTCCTTTCTCATAGACTAAAGTAATAAGCTGAAAGGAAGTGAACAATGTTTTTATTTCTTCAGGAAATTACATTATTATGAAAAGTGTAGTCAGAATAAACTACTTTGTGTTACTGATGGTTCATGAAGGCGGCACAGACACGTAACCAAAGGCAGGTTGTTGAACATTGAGTTGTCTTAAGTCCTCCTCAAAGCAGTCAAAAGATTCTGCAAAAACTCTGAAATTTAGAGAAAGCATTAGAGCTGACCAAAGTCCATTTGAAATTGATATTGTAACTATGAAAGCAGTGTTAATAATAATATATTACCTATGTGTCACATGGAGGAACATTCATACAGGCCAGACTCTGTTTTGGGTCCTTCAACAGTGTGCAGTTCGCAAATGGCGTCCCTTCAAAGTATGCTTTAACCTTAATAGGAAACCCTACTGTCTCACTGGCAAGGAAACAAATAGCAAATAAAAAGAGTTAGATTCACCTAATTTACACTTGACACACCAAAACACAGCAGAGTGCACATATTTCACACTGCACCAAATAATCCTGAATGTGCCACAGAGACCAGATACATAGGAGCAGATACACACAAACTACTTGGTTAATCAGTGAATAGTATTTTATACAGTCTCCTTACCTGTATTCTGACAGATCAGGTATGCACTTTTGTTCTCTGGTCCTTTTGGCTCCTTCTCCACAGGGGGGCTCACACTGACTCCACTCACTCCATTCACTCCACTTACCATCAACTAAACACAAGTGAAGCATTATGTGAGGAACATTACTTCTTAAGTTTACCATATGTTTCCCAGTCTAAACAGTTCACACATATATTATGAAAACATTTTGTGACGTTTTTGTTCATTTTGGTGTTAGACAGCATTAGGCTGTTTTTTCCCGGCTGTTCGAGCACACACATTTTTTTTTTTTAGGCTTGTCGGAGTTTGGTAGCTGAAGTCCCTTCATCAGTGATTTGTCAACAGTAGGGATTATTCTATGAAGTGTTTGTCATTCAACAACAGATGACTAGTTTTCATGCACATTTTCTCACTTGAGAAATACTGCACCAAACATCTTAGTTAAATGTCTAATTGCGTGACTAAGACCTCCTCTGCAAAAACGTGAAAACGTTATCTTAGATCACGACTTCCGCCGAGGCTGCCTCCCCTCCTTGTTCGGGCAGGTTTCGGCGTTCGTCGTCACCGGCTTACTAGCCACTGCCGCTCCATATATCATCATTCCATTTGTCTTGTCTTGTCAATTACACACACTTGGTTCATATTCCCCTCATTAGTACATGTATAAGTGTTCCCTCTGCCCCCTTGTCCTTGTGGGTGATTGTTTTATGTGAAGATGAGTGTAGCTCGGTTGAGCTCCCTGTACTTTGTTTTGCCGGGGTTATTTATCCCTGTGCGCCTGTAATGTGTTCCAGTGCGCCTGTATTACGCACCGTGCTGTTGACGCTATCCAGCGTAACTGTGTACTACGGAATAAACTCTGTATTCAGTGATTTACCCTCCTGCGCCTGACTCCTTCAAATCACACTCTCACATTCTGACTATTTTCAGGAAATGTACTTGTTGCTACGGCGTCTCAAGTGGGACAAACAGTAATATTGCAGTTTTTTCTCGTTTTTCAAGCGAAGGTATTTTAAGGGAGGATGCGAGCACAGATGTTCACTTCGCCTAGCCGAGTTCTGCAAGGAGCAAACCAAACCTATGTATGTGGATGCCTTTAGCCTACTGCATATGAAATGCATAATGAGAATTTGTATTATCCAATTATCACTGCAAAAACATATAACACTTGGACTGAATAAAATGTCATGAAAGAAAGCAAACAACACAGCTTAATCAATGGAAGCTAAATCTTGTTTAACTCACAGTAGCATGATTTTATGTCATAGCAGGCCCTGTAGTCTGTAATCTTTCCTTCACACACCTTCCCATCAAAACCTGTGTGTTCACACCATCTTTGCCGTCTTTGCTGTCCACCAATTTTTCGACAACGAATCTTTCCTCTATTAGATTTACATTCTTCCCATCTCCCCCACTGTGACCACTGACCATCCACTGTGGGACAAAGAAATAACCATTATCCTCATGGGAAGTCTTTCAGTTGTTAGGAGGACTTGAAGGATACAATGTTTTCACTACAGAGTACCATATACAGTAATAGTATTACTATAAAAGTGTATAATATTATTCTAATTACAGTGACAAAATACAAATCTAAACTGAACATCAGCTGTGTGAAAGCTATAATCCTCTCAAGAGAGACTACATTTGATCAAATGACTCATCTGCTAAAAACAATATTTGCTCAGAGGTAAATAATTGATGAAATGAGCAGAGGGAATGGGTTCTTCTCCGGCTGTCAGTACTTTACCTGGGCAATGGTTTTTGGTATTGCAGATTTTTTTGTCTTTATTTGATCCAGAGCAGGGCAGACCTCCATGTTTAGGGGCTGGGTTGTTACACTGTCTGAGCATTTCAGAAATCCCCAACCCACAGGTAACGGAGCAGGAGCTGGGGGGGCCCCATGGCCCCCAGTTACCATTCACTGTCGAGGATAAAGAGGGGAGTTTGTTTTACATACAATATGAGTACAACAACTTTAGGTTATCAGTCAGAACCTCAGAGGAAAATAGGATTGCTTTGCCATGCCACTTACCAGGACAGAAAGGAAGCTCATCACAGGTCCTAGTGTTGCTCCCTAACCCAGGGCATTCATCACCAGGGGGCACTGAGGACGGTGGTGGTTTGTTGCATGCTCTGTTGCGCTGCTGTGTAGGTCTGGGTAAATTCTCCCCCACACAAGTGCCTGAGCATGGCTGCCAGTTCTCCCAGTTCGACCAACCACCATGAGCTACAATCAAAAGAGGAGGAGAGCGGACTTACTCCAGTGAAAAGACATGCCAAACTTGTATCATGTATGGTGATGGTTATTGCACGTGAAGGAATAGAGTGTATTGTCTAAATCATGATGGTCTTTACTTGGACAGACGCGATCAACCACGCAGGGTTCCAACTCTTCACTTGGACCGTCACAGCTGCCTCCACATCTAGGTTGTGGTTCGGTGCATGTCCTCACTCTGTTTCTTACGCCCTTATCACAAGTCACTGAGCAGGGCTGCCACTGACCCCACTTACTCCATTGGCCTTGTTCTGAAAAATGTTGGGCAAGATCATCAAAAGAGGCACAAAATACATTGACTGTCTGTTAGAGAGGGTATGTACCTGGACAACAGTTTGAATCAATGCAGACTTTGGTCTCTAACGTGAGTTTCTGAATCTCTCTTGGGCTAGTCGTCTGAGCACATTTTCCCTGTCCCTGGCATTCTCGTCGTCTCTGCGAAACTCCCTCCTCACAGGGGACAGAGCAGCGGCCCCAAGCAGTCCATTCAGACCATGAAGGTGGCCTACAGGTGTCATAAAACACAACAAATCACATCCTGCACTGGGACGTTGGATGTTCAAATCTGAAACTCATTGACACCAGCCTGGTCTCAGAGCATTTCGTATTATTCTGTACTCACCCACAAGACTTGCATTTTCCATCTGATCCAATGTATCCGTAGTGAGGGTTAAGACAACAGTCATCCATTGTCACTTCTCCTAGTAGCCAGAGATCGTCACAATTTCCCGAATCCCCATCAAACCTGGTGTAACATTTCACCTCCGGTGATACTGGAATCATATAGAACATTCATAGATTCTAATCACTGCTTCAATAATTTTTCTAGCATTTCACCATATTATTCATTTTTTACTTAACCTTCATTTTATCAGGGAGTCATACTGACTCCAAGGTCTCTTTTACAGATGAGCCCTGAATTACAGAAATTACAGAAAATACACACATCAAAATATAAATACAAAATGCAAGCAAAAAAAAAAAAGGTCATTATAAAAAACATTCATCAGTAATAAGGTCCTCAATCAGCTTTCTGAATTGCCCTAGAGGCACCAAAACATCAAATTTAAGAACATTTTGAAGATTGTTCCACAAATAAGGTGCTAGAAAACTAAAATATGATTTACCTAACTCAGAGACCAAAGGAATTTCCAGAGTTAGTCACCCCTTAGACCGGGTAAGTCTAAAGTTTAGTAATGATGTTAGGTACAGTGGGAGTATTTGTAAAAGGGCTTTATACATGAAAACATATCAATGTATCAACCTACGTGACATCAAAGAGGGCCAAGGACATTTCTGGTAGAGAATGCAGTAATGAGTACCGAAACTGTCACCCATAATAAAGCACCCTTGATAAACTGCATCTAACGGCTTTAATAAAGTGGCAGCTGCATTAATACAGATGATGTCGCCATAGTCTAGGACTGATAGGAATGTCAACTGAATAATCTGCCTTCTACTTCTACTATTTTGCAAGAGGCATGACCTATTTCTATAGAATACATTTTTACTCTCAGCTTCTTAACTAACTCATCATTATGCATTTTAAAAGACAGCTTTTCATCTGTCCAGATGCCCAGATATTTGTAAGCAGGGACACGATCAATATGGACACCCTCCAAAGTACATATGTTTAAGTTATTTGTATGCGCTCTAGAGAACAACATATACTTAGTTTTACCTGTATTCAATACTAATTTCAGGTCAATAAGGTTTGTCTGTAATACAGTGAAGGGAGACTGTAGTTCAGATCAGTGACAACCTGTCATTCAGGGCAGGTGGGGCAGAGCCCAACCTGTTTTGAGCCCCACCTGTGTATATATATATACATATATAAACAGTATATATATATTTTTTTTCCTGTGTTGCATGTTATTTTGGCATTAATACGTGTCACATATCAGTTTGCAAACAATGTAAAAAGAAAAATCATTGAGTTAATAAAGCCGCATTCAAACATGGTCTCTTTTTTGCTTTCTTGAGTAAGGCAGCTCCAAAATGCAGGTGTTTCAGCCTAGCTCAGTGGTTTCTGTGGTGGTGGGGCAGCCAGCAGAAAATACGGAGCGTAGGGGTTGATAATGTTCTCTAGTTGCGCCGTGATTGGCTCAGTGTTCTGTCACTCATGGGGACACTATGTCATCACAAAATCTACAGGGAGAGCTCGAAAATTCAAGCCCCTTAGGTGCTGCCATAGATTTACATTAGAAGTGCCCATCGAAGAAGGCTCAAGGTCATTGGCCACAGATATAATGACGTCAAATCACGTTATATCTACAGTAGCTTTGATTGGACTGATCATGTCAACATCATACTTTCAAAATCTTTCAATTGCTTAGCTAATAAGCAGTCATCATCATGAATCAAGTCGACAATCTACTGGCAAATCCTTTTCAAACCTTGTCATACGAAGATAAATTATAGATTAAACGTATCGGTGCTCATCGGCCATTGGACATAAATATTACACAACAAGTTGGAAATCGCAAATTCAACAATGAGTGGTTTGGAAAGAATCAGTGGCTAACTGCAAGCGTTGCAAAGCAATCACTAGCCTGCTATTCAGTGGAGTGGGTATGTGGTCCAAGTCTGGGTTTAAGGGTCTCTTTTCCAAGCTTAAAAGTATAAACATTCACATACAACACTATGGGCCAGAAAAGGTTGAATACATTGGCTATGCTGTTAATCCAGCATGATTTCTGCCGCGTTCAAAACAACTGGAAACTCAGAACTGGGAAATCTCAGACTTCAGTGAGTTCAAGACAACTGGGAACTCTGAAAAGAATGAACTCAGACTGGGAAAATACGATTTGAATGGTCATCCAACTCGGAATTCCAAGTCGGGAACTCGGGCCTCTTTCTAGAGCTCCGACCTGAAGATCACTGACGTCATGATTAGACCTTGTTTTTTTCAGAGTTCCCAGTTGTCTTGAAGCACCATAAATCCAGAGAATGCCAGACTTTGATGACAAAGTTTGATGACAAAATTTGCCCACAAGAAGGACTTCCGCGCCACCTTCCTGTTCAAGTGAGCACAGAACAACAAGGTTAGTCCAAAAATGTATTGTATGCTGCTGCATAATGATTTAATATGCCAGGGAGATATGTATACTGTAGCTAAGAAAGTAATACTAAGTGTATGTTGTGTAGTAAGCTGTTAGAAGCCCATGTGCCTCACCTTAATAACTTGGTCCCTTTCCCCCTCTTAACTTAGCCTACTGTTCTGACTAGTGGTGCACATGTAGCCTATAGCCTGTTTTATAGAAATGTAATCATCAAATATTGTAAGAGCTTTCATTGTCTGCTTATATGCCCCCTTTATTTATCCTATGGTTCTGACTTAGTGTACAGGGAGAATACTGTAAGAACGGTCCATGTTCTGAATTCTGTCGCTGTACATTTCAAAAGTGCTGAGCAAATAGTTATATTGACTACGTCCGTCCTAGCTCACTCATTAATGTCTTAATCGAATTGACGGATTGCCTCTTATCTGCTCATCGTTCCTTCATGCCATAGTTTGTACATCTCAATTGTCAGTAGAAACCACATTTGTTTAAGCAAGTCAGACATATCAGCTATGTTTTTTAAAAAGGCAGTAAATTAGGCTGAATTAACTGTTTCGCTGCCAGATAAGGCTCCGCTGATAGCCAGGTGTAGCGGTGGTAAGGATTCACTCCATGGTGCTGAAAAGAAAGCTCTGCTGTTGGGACAGCTTTGTGTAGGCCCTAAACGTTTGTGGGCACCGTTTGTCACCATTATAATGCAATTAATGTATTGTTTAGTGTTTTGTTGTGTAGTGGATTTGCTGGCATGCATCTAAAAGAAAAAAATTGGGGAGTTTGCCCCACCAAGATTTACATGCTAAAATTGCCACTGGTTCAGATAGAGCCTAGTCAACCGTGGGGGCAATAGCATACACAACAGTATCATCGGCATACAAGTGCAGGTTACATGTTTTTTTTACAGACATGTCAATATTGTTCATGTAAATAGTAAAACGTACAGGACCCAGAATTGACCCATGATGATACATATTGAGTTCTATCTGTCAAGTCATTTTTAAACCAGATACATGCAGCCTGGTCTAGGCCAATTGAGGAAAGCCTCTGAATTAGCAGTGAGTGATCAGCAGTATCGAAAGCCTTTGACAGGTCAGTGAAGAGGGCAGCACAATGTTGCCTTTTATCCATTCAGTGAACCACATCATTTATAACTAGGGATGCAGCAGAGATAGTGCTATGACCTGGTCTAAAACCCAACTGATGTACATTTAGAACACATTTCAAAGATAAGAAAGATCTTAGCTGAGAATTAATCAAGGATTCTAATATTTTAGCTAGGCAAGAAAGTTTATAAATTGGGCGATAATTATTTAGGTCACAAGGATCACCACCTTTGTGAAGGGGTAGTACATGGGCTGCCTTCCAAACCTTGGGGATAGTACCAGATGTAATCGTCAGATTAAAAATATTGGTTAATGATTCAGCAATCAGGGTGGCCGAGAACTGCAGCAAAAATGGATAAAGCATATCAGCCCCAGTGGATTATTTTTTACATCAAGGCATCTAGCCCATCACAGGTAGTAAATTGTTGAAATGAAAACAAAGATTCACTAGAAGTTGACAGGTTAACCGTCATGTTAGCTAGAGGCTGGCAGAAGGAAGAGCAGTCAATTGACTGACCAGGGTCAATTAAACCACAGTTTCTCTCAAATAAAAAGCCTGCCGAGATAAAATGATTAAAAGCATCACTTATCCCATTCTTCTCAGTTATGATGCCAGAGTCAGAATTTAAAAGTAACGTGGTGTCTAGCATTATAGTGAAGTGTTCACAAATCAATATTTTTTAATATCACATTAATTCTAGTGTTATGAGTAGGTTGTAAATATTTGTTGAAAACAACAATAGTAAAGGCACTGACCTGATTCCCTTACAGTCATCAGCAACACTAATGAAGTCCACAACAACTGCGCCATTTCTCTGTCTTTGTCTATGCCTAGTACTTCTTACTGTAGCTCTCTGTCCACTCTCTCTAGCAGGCTTATCTGGTTAATGTTTCACTTTATAGGAAAAAACCCCCAGAAAGATGTGCATCCCATTCCCGTAAGGTTAATAAACTCCCCAGTAAGCATGGACCGACGCCGGTGTCTTTTGGACGTCTTTGTTTTGGTCCGGACCCTCTTTTTTTCTATTTTTCTTTTGTGATCCGGACCGGCCTTGATTTCAACGTCCATGGATGTATATTTTTGGTCCGCTCTGGTCCGGCCTTGATTTTGCCCAAACATAGATGTCCATGTTTGGTTCAGATTTGGTCCGGTACGGACCAGCCTTGAGTTCAACGTACACAGACTTCCGGTCCAGACCGGCCTCGATTTGGCCCAAAAATAAACGTCTTTGTATGAAAAATGTATGCACTCACTAACTGTAAGTCGCTCTGGATAAGAGCGTCTGCTAAATTACTAAAATGTAAAAATGTCTTTGATTGGTTCAGATTTGGTCAATCATAGATGTCTATGTTTCACAAGTTTGGACAGTACAGCACACAGTACAGTACAGTTGTCACGGTTTCGGCCGAGGCTGCCTCTCTTCCTTGCTCGGGCAGGCTTCGGCGTTCGTCGTCTCCGGAATACTAGCTGCCACCGTTGCATGTTTCTATGTTCGTTTGCTTTTGTCTGATTGTTGTCACACCTGTTATCATTTAGTGTCATTAGTGTCCTATTTAGTTCTCGTTGTGTTTGTCAGGTGTTGTGTGTGATTGTTTTACTGTCGTGCCGGTAGGCTGGATA